CTGGGTGGGTGTTTTTTTGACACAATTGACCCTTTTTCTTTTGTTTGATTCGTTGACATTTTTCACCCTTTAAGGGTCAATTACTTAAAATTGTCACCTTGAGATTTTATTTTGGTGAAAATGGACAAAAAATTACTTTAGGGTGATTTGTTGACATTTTTCACTCTTCAAGGGTGAATTGCTCGTAAAATTTACCTTTTTGTGATAATATTTTTGTGAAAATTGACAAATTGACCCTTTTAACCCATTCGCTCCTGGAGATTTTGCCGAAAAACGCGTTTGGAAGCTAGTCGAGTGGTTTTCTGGTAACTGTCGTGCTATAAAGAGCTAAAACTTACCACAAACCGGTTTACAGGTCGTACACTTGGCGGCCTTCTGATCCAGATGCAAAATATCAGCTTGCGAAGTTCGGGCATGCGCAGAAAGCAAAATTTCGACAGTTTTTGGGTTTAAAAGTGACACAGCAGTCTTGACTTTTACTTTTCGCTTTCTCTCCTCCCTTCTTTTTTCGCTTTTCTTGCCTCATTTTTTTTTTCTCTTTCTGGGCATTTAGTAGGCTTCAGTTTGGTGGGAAGAGTTTTTAGGAAAGCTTTTAGGATCTTAGGATTAGGTGAAAGGAAAGGTAGGTGGGTAATGGAACAAGATTTTCATGGACATTTTCAGGTCCTTGTCACGTGGTTTTTTGCTTCTTTCTCCGGTGTCCTTGACTGAATTGTGCTCATTCTGGTATGGTTTAAAAGATCTCTTCACTCTGCACAAGTTAGCGAAGAAAGTTGTCCTTGACCTTTAAAACTGATGACGTCACAAAGGGTAGAAAGGACCTGGATCCGCACGGGCGGTTACGGGCGGTTCAGGGGCGAATGGGTTAAGGGTGAATTTTTATATTTATTTTAGCGATTGGGGTTTTTCTATTGGGAAAACTACGAGGGTGTTTTCTTGTCACGATTCACCCTTACTCTTTAGGGTGATTTGTTGACATTTTTCACCCTTCAAGGGTGAATTGCTCGTAAAATTCACCTTCTTGTGATTTTATTTTTGTGAAAATTGAAAAAATGACTCTTAAGGGTGAATCCTTTCAAATTTTTACATTTGTTTTAGTGATTGGGGTTTTTCTATAGGGAAATTTACGAGGGTGTTTTCTTTGCATGATTTGCCCTTACTCTTTAGGGTGTTTTGTTGGCATTTTTCACCCTTGAAGGGTGGATTGCTCGTCAATAAAAGAAGGTTAAAACTCTGAGCGATTGCTGCGGAATTTCTTGTTTTTATCTCGTCTGAAACCTTGTCGAAACGTCAAAAATGATTTGTCCGTATTAATTCACTCCGCCGGCTATAAGTTTTGCAGAGCGGCTGCTCTTCAGCCCGTATCGAAACGTTCTCTACAATACATGCCGCCAGCGCCAAATTTCCAATAAACAAAAAGAATCTTTTCATTTCAAAGCTTGTCGCTTAGGATTTCATCGCTTGTCCATGGCGGCTTTAGCTAGCATCTAGTACCGATGTTCTGAATTACGTTGATGTTATCTCCCACAAACAGTCCATTTTTTCCAGTCAGATCCGCATGCCGTCATTGCCAATAAATTGGCCTTCCCTAGTCTCCACTGCTCGATCTCCCATTATCCTTTAAAGACTCTGATCTCGTAAACTTTCGCACAAACACGATTCAAACAAATATCAGTCTAAAGCAACTGTAATCTGTGACCACAAACCAGATCTGTGGCGCACGTAAACAAAGCATACCTGGTTTGATTGATGTTTCGAGTGCTAAGTATATCAACACTACTAGCACTGCACCAATCAGAAGCTGCGTTCCTGGGCGAACGCAGTTTTTCGAATTATCGAGGGTCAAATTATATAGAAAATGACCTGAGGGGAAACGAAAATTGGTTCGAGTTAGCGGGAGTTCGAGTTATCGAGGGTTCGAGTTACCGAGGGTAAAATTACAGTGAATGTATGACGGAAATCCAGGGGAAATCGATTTTGGCTCGAGTTAGCGCGAGGTTCGAGTTAGCGAGGGTTCGAATTACCGAGAGTCGACTGTACTTCTATTTTGACGAGCTGTCAATTTACAAATGAACCGAACCGTGAAATATTAAGGGGCGTTTTCCAGAATCGTGGGGTTTGCGGGCAAGCGTTTCCTCTTCTCCCCTCCCCCTCCCCCTTCCACCTTTTTTTTTTTTGCTCCCGCTCTAACTTTCGCGCAGTAACTCGATTGGAAACGCTTGCTACGCAGGCTATTATTGGGGTTTTTCTATCTGGAAATCTACGAGGGTGTTTTCTCGGCACAATTCACCCTTTTTCTTTAGGGTGATTCGTTGACAATACGTACCTATACCGGATTTCAATACAAGAATAAAAAGCTCAACAGAGGTCAATTATTTTGACCTGCCGCATGTATGTTAATTAATAAGGTGAGCGATGGTGCATGTCAGGGAATTTTTCATGATGTAGTAATCTCAATAGGTGGGATTATTTTTTAAAGAACCCTTTGTATGTTGCATAACACACGAAGAAACTCTGAGCCTTCAGTGACCTTGAAGCAGCGATTTCCGCCGCTTTGCACGAGACTTTTGTTCATAGAAAATACGCTAACAGTGCTTCTCAGTTTTTGTAATATTGAAAGCGAATTATTTGCTGTACTTATAAAGACTTTGTTCGACAACTGAAGGCGTTTCTGCTGTCCTTCTGTCATTTATCTGTCTGTGAAATGTCCCCGGGGTGGGGGCATTTGATCACCTGAATGGACCCTAGTGTGGGGCATTTGAACATTATTTTGGCCCGGGTAGAGGAGAATTGGAACAATAATTTTCAAAAAAGTCAAATGCCCGGGGGTTTGTCGGGGGGGGGGGGGATGTTGAAGCTTCGATTTGACCGATACATTACTCGCTTGTAAAGTGCAGCTTGTAGACGCGACCATCATCGATTGTTCTTTTTTCCAAAGTTTTCTTTAACCTCTATCTTATTCCTGTCTAAATTGCTGTACCCTCTGTCTAATTTTGTATATATATGTAAACATGAAGTCCCTGGTGTTTATATGATGTATCTGTCCTTCAGAATCTGACCTTAAGTTTTTTTTGCTCTTTCCCTTTTTACGTCGCTTACGTTCCAAAAACCTTCCTATGTAATTAGTAAGAAAGCTTTAACAACTCAGGCCACTTAAGGCATGACTACCTAATTAAATACGCATATTTTAGTAAATGCTATTTAGAACGGTTTGCTTCCATTAGTGCTCTAGTCTGCTACACAGCCGTTTTTAGTGTCGTCACGCAACGCTCCTCCCCACTAAGTGGGGAGAAGCGTTGCGTCACGACACTAAAAATGGCTGTGTAGCAGACTATTTGTGCTCCTGAAAAGTGAACTACGAATGTGGCTCAACAAAACGTGATTTCAAATAACGTGACATCGCTTCGTCAACGACGTCACAAAACACGTTTTCCCAAACGGGGAAGGGTTGCAAACCTTCATCTTGGGAATTTTCACTACCAAAATGTTACATAAACAGGGAAAATCGTAAATTCGCCTTGTATGATTGGAAGTGTTATTTATCCTATTAGCTATTTATATACCTGCCAACTTTTTCTGAGATGTAGGGGTGAGATTTTTATCCTGGGAGTGCTGGGATTTTTGAAAACGACACGATCATTTCCGAAGATTCCCGAAGAAGTCCGAAGTCTTCCGAAGACGTCCGATTGCCGAAGGCGAAATATTGTCATTTATTCATTTTACACATGGTTTTCTTTCCTTAAATGGGTCTGAGTTAACATATTTTTGGAAATTGTGTCAAGCAAGACGGCAACAACTCACATTTTTTAATGAGGCGTGAGAAATCGGTCCGCAGGCGTGAGCGGGCGTGAGATCGAAGTTTTCAACCCGCAGGCGTGAGACTCACGCCTAAGGCGTGAGAGTTGGCAGGTATATATTTAACTAATGCGAAACGCAACTTATTAATACCGTAGAGCATCTAGCCTGGTCAGTGAATGATAGAAACCAGACTGATCTTTTGATCTTAGATTTTTCTAAAGCCTTCGATAAAATAGCACACAAACCACTCTGTTACTTAACACCTGTTGAGTTCTTCCTATTAGCCATGCCTTTATCCAGGCTAAGACTAAACCACGAATGGCATAGTACTCTAATTCCTTTAAGGCGAGTACAGTGAGAAGTCTTGCGTGAGATCCGGAGTCCCGCGAGGAATCGTGTTGGGTCCCTTGTGCTTCTTGTTATTCGTTAATGATATAGGTAATGATATTACCTCAAATATTAAGTTATTTGTTGACGACACTGTTGTATGGTCTGGTACACGATTCCGACGATGCAATCCGTCTCCAATCTGATCTGAACAAATTGGTTGAATGGGCGATGTTGTGGCAAATGGCCTTCAACCCATCGAAGTGTTAGGGTTAGTAGTAATAATAATAATAATAATAATAATAATAATAAAAGCTTTATTTATACTGGAGATATCTGTCACTATTATACCACGTTGGTCTTAACAAGATGTCCAGTATAAAAAAATTTAGAATATTATTCTAAATTACATTTCACTGAAAAGTAATTAAAAATATTAAGAACCACTAAAAACTATTAAAAACACTAAAAAAATCCAGTTAGTTACACTGTACATTTATGAGTACTAATGTCACTGTCTCTCCGTTGTTGAAAAAGATTAAATTTAAGCATATCAGAAATCATGGCTCGAACAGGTCCAGCGCTGGGCAGCACGCTTCGTAATAAGAACGTACAGGAAAGAGGAGGGATGCGTAACCAACGCGCTGAACTAAATTGGCCAACTCTCGAAAAAAGAAGACAAGTAGCTAGACTAACACTAATGTACAAACGTGTTACCAACCAGGCCGCTATTGATATCCCCTGCTATGTACATCATCAGTCTTCCCTAAAAACCAGAGCATCTCATCCACTGAAATTTACTCCACTTCAGTCATCCCGTGATACGTACTAATACAACTTCTGGCCGAGAACTATCATTGACTGAAATAGCCTGACATTTGATTATTTAACAATGGATTCAACTGCAAAATTTACGGCCACGATCTCTGACTACATATTTTCAGTGTGATGTTTACCCCTTTCGATTTATTGTAGTTTTATTTTAATAATTCCTAGAAGTAGCACTTTAGTTATTAGTTAGGAGCTTGCGAATATGTCTCTTGTAGATATTGCAAGATGATACATGTAAATGTAAATAGTTCACTGTTATGTAAGCCAGCGCCTGTAGCTGATAAAACAATCGAGGTTAAATTAAATGTCTATCCTACCTCCTTATCTATCGATGTGCAATGAGCAAAAGCACAGGCATTTGCCAAAGAAACATAGCCCCATAAATCTTTATCTGCAATAGTTTATTACAAACTCAGCATAGTAGACGCCGCCTTTTTTAATCTACAGTTTATTAACCCTTGGTGTTCACTTGGTGTTCAGGATTTCTGTTCATTTACATGCGGGCAGCCTTATATCTTGCCACTTTATTATAAACAAGGTTGTTAATGACAATAAACCAATTCCGATATATAAAATTTATAATTGGCTGTGGGGCTTGGGGGAATAAAACAAAAGAAATGTATTACTCATTCCTGCGCCTCAAGATGATTTCTTTGGAGCCTAGGAGCCAAGTATGAATTTTAATATATTTAAAATGATCTATTCCACCTCTAACAACCTTCAAGTTAATTGAGAAAAACAGTAAAAAGTATCAGTAATCGGCGACATTTTACTCTCTCGCACTACTTTAGAATTCATATCTTCGACTTTCGAGGCTTGTGATCAATGCCTTCTTTGGCTGATAAACAATTTACGTAATATAGCTTCCCAGACTCAATAGTCGCGGTGTGTTTTCCTTGAGGTGAGTCTGTAAATGTTGAAGAGACTGCCTCCCGCAGTCTTGAATGCCAGGGTGCCCATAACAATCATGGTGATGTATGCACACACTAATGATGCCACATACTGCTGTTTACCATTTAGAAGAGTCTGTTACAAAATAAACAAACAAAACACAAAACACAACAATTAGTCACAGTTAATTCACAGTTCGGAAAATGCAAACTGATGCGGTTACTGTATTTTCCAGCGGGTAAGCAGCAGTATGGAAAATATAAATTGGAGCAAAGTTAGGGTGCAGCTATGCATGCCTGGGTACAGGTATTTTGACACTACAGAAAAAGAACATTATGAAAAGACATTGTGGAATATTTCCGTTGTATTAATCAATCAATCACTTTTAAATCTTCAAAGATTATTTTCTCTAACCTTTTCAACTGAAATTGATCGTCAGGTATGATTAAATCAACGAAATATGTTTAAAAAAACCCTTTTTTTGCGATCTGACATTTTATGGGCAGATTTGGTTGTTTTATGCATGAAGAAGGCTCTCTCTCAAGAAAACTGGGTACTTTGCTTAACTTGCACAAAGCTGCCTCCTCCCTTAGGGAACTAAGGGGGCAGCTATGAACAGGCTTCGAACTATCTTTAGTCCAAAAACTGTGTGGTGGGTCCAAGTTAGGAAAATCCGTTGACTATGAAAAGACCGTCTTTAAATTACTAAACCGACAAGGTTTAAAGTGATTTGTTGAAAACTAACGAAGATACATTTTAAAGCTCATTAAAGTTGCGAAATTTGAAACACTTTTGTATGGTGGGGGGCACAAACTAGCTCTCCAACATTCAAACTTCTGTTAATTTTCCTGTGCGGAGATATATCTTCGCACGCTTAAGACGTATCACTTTCAAACTTGGCGACGGATTTTCTCTGACTGGTACATGATGTCAAAAGTTAAAAAGAAGTGGAAGGGTCTATTATTCAGGTTAATTTTCTTTCTAACGAAGCAGACTGCACTAAAACTGACTTAATACGAAGTGCTGCTGTGCAATTTGTTTGAGTAAATGTTGTACATTTTACAAGACATTTTACTAGTCAACACTAACATTGACAAGTCATGGTCTGTTCTCAAAGTCTGAAACCTTTTTGGGAGAAAGAGCTGACAAAACTAAAAGGGAAAAAGTGGTCTCAATGCATTATACTACGTACCATTAACGACACCAAGAGATGACTAGCTACAACTAACAAAACACTGAACCACTTCTTTTCATCCCAGGCATGAAACCAGACGACTCCCCAGAACGTGTTTAAAAGGACAAAGCAAGATGTTAAGAAAGCTGAAGGAATAAAATAAACATTTCATTGAAGGACATTCCAAATGAAAGCATATTTATGGTGTTAAGAATCTAGCGGACGTTTAAGTACGATTATATAAACCCGTTTAGATTTGGATGTAGATGCTTAAATGCAAAAATATAATAAGTGACACCAAAAATCTGGAAAAAAATTCACAAAACCCATTTTACGAAACACTCTTAGGTGAATACAACTGTGACATTGGGTAGCATGATAAAGGGACTAAGACCCTGTACATAAACTATATATTTATAAATTTAAGACGATAGTGCGCACGCTTTTATTGGCGGGGTAGTGTGTTTGCATGAGAGTAAATGTAAACGCAGTTGAGGCATCACCGTGTTTTGCTGTGTACGTACTGATTACACAAACAAGATTTTGAAAAAAATAAATTGAGCTTAAAACCCTACTACTTCTTTGAGGTTTGAAACCAACAAAAGACGTAACAAAAAAGCTGTACCCAAGTTTTTTTGCTTATGCTGACATTACAAGTGGCATACATCTGTATTTTGATGGCATCCTTTTTGCAAAACAAGGAGTGACAAAACGTACAAAACTTTGTGTAAAAATGCGTCTTTGTCGAGTTTGTCAAGGTATCAGGGTGTCCAAGCGGCATCGTTGCTCAAAAAAATAGGAAACTGATAGGAAACCCAGGATTGAGAAAATAGGAAAAATAGGAAACTTTGTATTAAAAAAAAATTGGAGAAAAATAGGAAAATCAACAGTACTTTCGTCAACAAAGATAGCCTCCCTGCACCTCATCAGGGTTATTGCTGCCAAGCCACCAGGCTTCGCAGCAGACTAATTCAGATCGCGTACGTGGCCAGCCTGGGTTGCCTATGCCCACAACATTTATGGTCGAGTTTCAGAAATTGCTTGAAAATTCTGAGAAACGTATCGCCTCAATTCACGGGAATTTTCTTACCTTCACTTGCATTCATACTCTACGCTTGCAAAAATGTAGTTTTCTATACGAAACGGGATTTCTCCTAGTTTTTAAGTTTTTCACTTCACACTTTATATTTGTGTTCTGAGCGTTCTTTTGTTTTCTTTCCGAATCGATTGACTGCGAACGAAAGAGCCTTGATTTCAAGGGCCATACTTGAAATCGAGGCAAATGCGGTGATATACGTACATACATACATAATTACATCCAAGAATCTCAAATGAGGCTGGCTTTGGGCACAGGCAGCCCAGGCTGGTTGCATCAAAGCAATAATTTATATTCCATTTTCAGTTTTTGTTACAAATTTTGGCTTCACCAGCTAAAAGATAGGAAAAATAGGAGGTTTTAGTTTAAAAATAGGAGAAAATAGGAATAGGCTCAAAAAATGGGACAAATAGAAACTGGACACCCTGACAGTCTAAATTGATTTGTTTACCAAAGTTAAAACACTTACCAGAGACAATAAGGAAATTCTGAGGGTCACCATGCAAACCTAAAGTTCCTGGGCCAGTTATATCTGCTAGTACATTGACCATGGCAAACAGACCACTTATTATGCCATAACCTAAACCAGAAACTAAAAGAAGAATCACATCATTATTCAAAGGTTCAGCGGAAATAAGGCAGAGACAAGCTTTCTGTAACCTGGGCATATAAGCATAAAGCACCAAAAGCAAAAACTAGCTTAGTAATAGTCAGAGACAAAATCTGTCAGGTTTATACAAATGAAGGGTCTCACAAGAAAATGAAAAAGTTGAAAGAGCTGGCTAACTTGTGCAATTTGTTCAATTTTCAACTGTTTTGAAGCAATATCTAAGCATTCTACGGTGATAAGAGCCATCAAAAACTGCAAAATTGATGAGTAGCAAAAATGTTATTGGGCCACACACTCATTGTAAAACGTTCAGTTCTAAAAAGAAAAGTTTTTTGAAGGTAATAATAATAATAATAATAATAATAATAACAACAATAATAATAATAATAATGATGATGATGATGATGATGATGATGATGATGATGGGAGGCAGCATTCATGGAAAGCAAGCACCTATTATTATTATTATTGTATATGATTGTTACTACAGTTGTAGTTAAATTTGTAATAATTATTAATTTTGCATTTTTCGTGACGACTCTGTTACCATGGATAAAAAAGTTGTTGTTTTAACAATAACTTTTTTCTTGATATTAGTGGGCAGCAAGTCTATATAGTAATGCCCACTACATGTATATCAGAGGAATGACCCGACATTTTTCCACACACATAAGTGAGCATTTAACCACTTAGAGGTCCTCACACATATTCAAACACCTGCAAAACTCTAAAACATGCCAAAGTTCATGTTTACCATTGTTTTGATATTCTAGATCACACTGTCACTTCTTTTCAACTCACAATAAAGACAATGACAGTTAAGCTGTCAAAACAATGTTTTTAAGCATAAAAAGAATGTTGTCGTTTATCTTAAAGTTATTGCTGTTGTTATTGTTATAGTCTATTACGTACAAAAGGGTAAAAAGATTCTTCTGTGAAAGTGTTAAAATTCTGAACCCAGGACCCATTAAATAGGTTGAGTAAGTTGAAAGATTCTTCTGTAAATTATTATAGGGGATGCCTTATGCTCATCTCATCAAAAAGAGCACAGGAGACCGTGTTCTCATAAAATGGGTTAAAAAATTAATACAGTTTAAACTCAACAATTTGGAATTCAAGAAAAAGTGGCTAAGCATAAAACTAATGCTAGCCAGCCATTTCCCTTCTTCCCTTGCATGAGGTGGCCTTAAGCTTTTAAGCAGGGGCACCTTGTGGCCCTTACACACAGCCTCTTCACTGCAGTTCTTCACGGTGTCTTTTGCTTTTGCAGTGTTAAGTTGCTTGTTTGCCATTTTAGTGAACATTTTTTTTCCCTGCTCTAACCTGAACAATGACTGCTCACCAGATTGGGCCTGGCTCATGATAAAGCCCTAGCATGAGGAAGAGGTATCCATAACGGTATCCAAACTTTGAACAAGGAGGGGCCCGCGAACAAGATGAAATGGGACCACTCTCCCCAACAACCCTGGGGAACCCAGCAGTTGAGAAAATCTGCTGCAACCAGTCAGTCAGAATTAAACATGTCAGTGGCTGACTGTTATTATGTAAGAACAATGGTCAATGGCCAACAAACATTTTCTTGCAAGGACAGATATGTCAGCAAGGTTTGAACTGTGTAAAAGCTAGCCATGTTGGTGAAAGTAAGTTCTTCAGAGCAGAAAAAACCAAAATAACCCAGAGTGCATGTCACCTGGAACTTGCAATAGTCACATGAATTGAGGTCCAATGCCCAATGAATGACCAATAAGAGGCTATCAGTGATCAGATGAAGAACATGCATTTACTACACTGGTTACTCAAGGCCCAAGGCCCACTTTCAAAAACCACCTAAATAGTTTGATGAACCTCAATATACTGGAGAGAGAACTCCTGGGGATTGCACCATGGATCACACTAGGTCCCCCCCAGGGAAGATAAGTCAACAATCAAGCTCCACCTGCTTGGCTGTCCCCTACCTTGGGTTGACCCAGAACTGCTAATAGGCAACTGATAGATTAGGGGTGAAGAGAAGAGGCCCACAACCCTGCCTGATGACACCTCATTGGTCAAGTACTAACAATGACGCCAGCGTGGAGAAAGGCACATAGCTTGTTCATTCAGTGGGCACATGGGGAGCCTAACCGGAAGCCATGCTTAAGACCCTGGAGGACATAGGACAACTGCTGGTTGGTGTGACTAGTCAATTTCTTTCACAAGAGGGGACTAACTGCTTTGAGTAGATGTCTTGTCTGCGCATTTCCTGCCAAACAAAACTAGTGCTGATTTATACTAAAGGAAGAAATTATTTCAAATTCGAATTGAAGTTTTCTTTGCCGTGCATTTGTGAGATCCATAGCATTTAATGTAGCTGAAAATAATACTATTATGTACACAATTTATGAATGTTACAGATGAATGGTCAGTGTTCAGTGTTATACTGGTAATTCACAGCGTGGTTAGTATAATGCAATGCAAGTGAAATCATCCTCTACAAAAATTTGCATTTCAGCTCAAGACCTTTAAAGAGTACCAGCACAATACTAACCGTATGCAATTCTGTGCTTCCTTAGAGGGTCTGATTGATGATTGATTATTGAAAGAAGACCTTCATCTGCTTTCCTAAACAAGAAGATCGTTAATAAATCTGTAAGTGCTTACTACAGTGGAACAAACACTATTCTCTTTAAAACTCATCCAACAAGGATTGGGACAGCTTAATACTCGTCAAGAAACTTAAGTTCGATATCACTCACATTCTGTTGGACTGTTAAAAAAAATTGTGTGGTAAGACATTTTCATGGGACTTTATTTTATTTGCAAATTTCCATTGTCATCGTTTCTTTGTCAGGAAAGAGATGTAGAATCAACTGCTGGGAACAAGGAAAAGGAGTCCACCACCAGAAACTGGCTTGTTCACATACATGTATGCTGTATAGTATACTGTAAAATAGTTAAAGAGCAAACCAATGGGGAAAAAGTACTGGATTGAAATTCTTCATGACAAAACAAGTCCACCTGCAAATTTTTTAGCAACAATTATTTTTGGACTAAATTATCACTCATGCCCTTTTTGCACATGGTCCTTCAATTCTTTATGGATACTGGCTGTAACAATTTCTAGAACTGTCACAAATTGATGCACAGTTTGTTTGGATGAAAATGATTAGAGGTGGATGTCTGTGAGAGATGTGATAATCAGCATGCAACAAGACAGAAAATATATGTACATTATAAGGCCTTGTGAAATTCAAGCCCCCAGGGTATTTGGTTCATAATCTGTACTCTCTTATGGCTTTCTCAACACATTTCCTAACCAACAAGGTGTATAGACCTGGGCCGAGTTGTTCAAGGCTGGGTTAAGATAACCCTGGGTTAGTGCAAGATTTGAATTCAGATTTGAAAGCTTAAAAAGCATTTCAGTTTTAATTCTTTTTGTCTACAAGTCGATGATTAGAAGCTCTAAAAATAACAGAGAAAATTATCTGAGAAAATGCTTTTGAACACAAGAAAAAGAAACCATGGTTAAATTTAACCCTGGGTTAAGCGCTAATCGGCCTTCGAACAGCTGGGCCCAGGTGTTAAAAGCTTCAAGAAAATTCTCTAGGATTGACATGATGAAAGCTTGCACAAATAATTTGAGACTTTAGATTAAGAGCACAAGCTGTGACAACTACATCAGAAAAAACATTAATTTGTTCCTCAATCAAACATCACTGATGCATTTGAAACAACCTTCTCATACTCACCTCATTATTTTATAGAAAGCCAGTCTAAAGAGTTCCTGAAAAATGACTGAAAATGCAATACCAAAGGCTAGATGTTTCTTAAGTGGTGATACCACGGTCCACCAGATTGAAGATAGCAACAAGGATAGTAACCAAAAAAATGCACTGTAAAGAATAAATAACTAATTAAATTAATAAACGAAGGAGAACAGAATTCTGTCACAAATGTCTTTTCAGAAAATAATAATAATCAGCTACAGCAGAAGCTCATTAAGGAGACACCTTAGTGACCAGGAAAAGTGTCTCCATGATAGTTTTACTCTGCAAATGATTGGCGGCCTTGGTTGAAAGTGCCCCCATACAAGCACTTGTAGCATTTCTTGTGGGGAAGCAAAAGCAAAAAATCAGGAAACTCAGTGCCATACAATATACTTCTCCTGGAAAGGTATAGGAAACTGGTGATGATCAGGCAAATTAAGTTTTGTTCAGGCAAGTGAATTGAATTTCGGGTAAAACGACCTCAGTGGAACCTCTCTTTCTAAACAACTCCATGTAGGGGACACAAACTAAGGTCACAAAAACATACATGCACACATACCAGGGTTTTCACTAAGAATTCTAGTAACAGGAGAAAGATGTAACTTTACAGGAGAATATTGCAAGAGGCTCCAGGTCTGAATAGAAAATAGTCATAGGCTATCGCATGTTAGCCAGAGAATTCCGTGTAGTAAACGGAGAATTCTCCAATCTCCGTTACCTAATGAACACCCTGCATACCTTTATTGTTGCTCCCTAAAAAGGGCTTTTCAGCACCAATATTACAAATAAAACATAATCGTCAGCTACAATTGTCAACTAAACATTAATAATTAAGAATGAATATAATAACATGATTTGCTTAAATATTCTCTGGAAATACACCGTTGAAATGGGTTTACTGGAAAACTAGGATTGCAGATTGAGGATCAGGGATTGGTAAAAAAAAACTGGAAAATAGAATAAATAAATAAATAAATAAATAACTGAACAATTGCAGAGTACTCGTGGATCACGGTAATGTGGGCTGCAGGCTGTGGATAAATTTAACAGAATATATTCCCTGCTATCTGTACTAAGAACTAAATTAATTATTTTAAGTAAACTACTCCAATCTGAGTCTGGCTTTTGGTTGAAGTGTCGAGGTCAAGGGTAACATGTCAAGCATCAAATTTTACGTAGACGATTCATTTTCTATGTTCATTTCTTTATTATTTTTCTGGAGTTTTTTAGGCGAGCGAGGAGTGCCAGACATGCAAAAGTTCAGCTTCTATTTGCGCTGGCCAGACTGCTCACAGATGTTCTAAAAGAAGAGTCCAACCTTTGGGTCAAGAGAAAATAACAAGACGAATCACAGACTTTCAGGAAATCAGGAAATCTTATGCAAAAACCTTGCATTTCCTGCACAATTACGTGGCTGTGACGCTAGCGTTACGCAGAAAACAAGACACATTTTGTTAAAATAACGGCACCCTGGAAATGATTGGTCCATGAGTTATCTCTGTGATCTTGGATGTCAAGTCCACTGTTCAGAGAAATTATCAATTTTAACATGGGTGTGTATTTTAAACTATGCTGAAAAGTTTTGGGATTTTCAAGAGATTTATTTTTTGGGTACAGAGCTCGAGTATACTTATTATACTAGGTAATAACAAGTCCCACTAAAGCACAATAAACACTGGTAATATCATGATTAATGGTGGACCATTAGAAGGGGAGGAAGTGGAATCCTTTCCCCACAGAAATAAAAAAAAAAATCATTCAATGTAAAATCTTTCAGGAAAAAAATTCAATGACCACCCCCCAATGACCCACTAGTGCAATGACTCCCTTACAAATGTTTCAACCGGTGATTTAAACATGCATTGCAGGCAGGTGTTCTTGCCCTTCAACTTGGTGACACACTGCGAAGTTGCACGTTCATATCATCCCGTGCAAGAAATTTCAAACTCTATATAAAGCTGGTGCTTTGCTGCCGAATTACACGTTGGTGTAACAAGTGCCGAAATGAAGCGCCAAAGATGTCAAACAGCTGGTCAAAAGTGAGAAAAAAAACCGAAAAGATTGCGACAAAAAAGCGTAAACAAGATCACAAGGAGGTAAGTTTTCGAATGACCATTTTTTTGTTTGATTCTGTACTGAAAGAAATCTGTAAGGAAACCTTAATTCTGGTTTATGTATAAAGGATAAGTATTTCAATGCATTATTTTTTTCTTTTCAGGAATTATTTTTTCTATAATATTGATAATACAAAGTTTGAAAATTATTTACAAAGTTGTTTTAAAATTCTTTTTGTGTTATCAAAGTTTAAAATAATTACTTTTATCCATTGTTATGAATGCAGTAAACATTTTAAGTGAGCATGTAGATATTTCTTATTGACACAAGCTAATGGTCTGGGACAGGATTATTCACATAAATTACCAATAATAAGAGTTGTTAGTTTTGTGAGAACCTGGGGAATTTTGTTGCAAAAAAATTAAATGCCTCGGTAATTTCCATTAAGGCTGTCCACTCATTTGTGCCTGAAGTGATCTGAAGCAGAGAAGGCTGATGGTCCTCTGGTTATGAATACAGTGGCAACCAAGAGGTTTCTTTGGAGTGAACGTTTTATTAAAAATAACATAAGATGCTGAATTGCAAAAAAGTCCACAAAATAAATAAAAGAAAGGTGGTAAAAAGGCATAGTAAATGACCATCTGAAGGAGGAAGCAAAGTTGTCTGTATGGAACAAACCAATAATTATTATGCACCAGAACCACAAACAACAGTATGCCCGTTTAATTCCACGATCAAACCGACCTCAATGTGCGATAAACACATCTAAGCTAAGCAGTGATGGACGACGAAGGACAAAAAAGATCGAAACGAACTCAAATACCGTTGACCAGGTGCTGTGACGTCACAAAACGTATTTCTGCAGTGCCACTCAAAATTACCTAGGCAATAACAATTTTTAAAATGTGCCCCCCTCCCTCCAACCCCTTCTAGACCAAGTCTCTTCGTCAATTTCTGGGCATTGATTTCATAAGCTATAAGATACTGGTAGTCAGCAGCGTAGTATAAGATTCTGGAGGTCACCCGGCAAACCTGGGGGAGTCTGGGGGCATGCTCCGCCAGAAAATTTTTAAATTTAGGGTCTCAGAAATGGCAACTCCTGGGTTTTCTGCAGGACATTTTCAGTGAATAAAGAAGAAGGAAAATGCAGTAATTAGTTGCTTCTTTTACTCCATCTCTAGTATTATCGGTAAGGTACAGTGTTCACGGCAAACAAGGGTAAAACAGTGACGCCGTCAAGGAGGTTACAAGCAAAGGGCGAGATGTGTACCCTTTCAGATGGGCAAACTCTGTTATAATGCCATCAATATCAATTACGTCCTTGTGCTTGTGTATGTACAGAATTGCAAGAGAGCTTAATCTCTCGTCTCTCATGGTCCCTCATAAAGGACTTTGCAGTCTCTTAATACCGCTGAAGCTATGCTCAGCTGTGCATGTTGACAAAGGATAAGTCAACAAAGTTACATGGAGAGCTACATATACTCCGGGATAGAATTGGAGTTGGCTTGGTCAAAAGTCTCAAACAGGGTCTGTGGCTTCACATTCAGAGCCATTTCACTCCACTTAATCAGTAAAAGGATTAAGGAAATCCTAACACAAAAACACCAATATAATGCGAAATATTTATCCCGATTTAATAATAAAAATGCTTTCGGGAAATAAAAAAATCTACATATTTTCATATGTGTGCACATAAGCGCTACATTCCTGGTAGTTGAATAGCTGATAGATACGGGTAACATTTTGTTGCTGCCAAAGAACCGCCGAAGCGAATTTTTTTGTCTACTTTTGAAGGAAACATGGATTTGCTTCAATCATAATAGAGCGGTTTTCACTTGACTGTCGAAAGGGATTGGTTTTGGTTTTGGTTTTGGTTTTACTACGCCCTTTGGTTGGCTAGTGTATTTACTTTGGTTTTGGTTTTACGACAGTCAAGTAAAAACCGCTCTATAGTTTGACAACTTACAAAGAAGACCAGTCCTGTGTCTTAATATTTCGTCCCCCTCACATTTTGTGCATTTTCAAAATTGACCCCCAAAAATCAAGCCTCTTAGAAAATTGTACCCCCTCCTTGTCTGTAATCTAGAAACTGTTCGCAGGTGATTGGATGATAACGCGCGAAAATTAACATGGACTTAAAGAAATGTCAGCTTAAACTGAACTTACCTTGCAATCAAAACGATAACCTGTTCGGCATCCTTGGCCACAGTGAGGGAAAATAACGCCAATGCCGGTCCAAAGGCTATGAAAGCGCATCCGAAGAAAACCATAAGAGTCATCTTTATTCAAATTCAAAAGGAAAGGTCTTTTTCTGTTTAGTAAGTGAAAAGAAAAGTATGAGCTTAATTGGACGAAAAATCTTCCGCCATAATGCGATGAATGAGGCCATGACGTCAGATGACGTAGCCAATCGATATATTTTCGCTAGGTAATCGGAGAAACCCGGGGATAAGTCGCATGAAATGTAAATAAACATAATAGGAAAGTAGACAAAGGAGCGTTGCCGGTACGGGGCTTTCTGTTATGTTCTTTGGCTCAAGTGCCTCTGTATCATGGAATTTAAAAACCACGAACATTGTAGTAACTGCGTAAAGCTGTACTGTAACCAACCAAACGTCTGCAAGATGACTCAATGCGTGTTCGGTTGTAACATTCAATTGCATGCCTGTAAAATGGAAGATCACAAGAATGTATGCCAGAAATGTCGAATTCCTTGTATAAATTCAATCTATGGTTGTCCAGCTGTAATCACTAGAGAAAGTTTAAGGACTCATCTACGACGTTGCCCTGCCAGTGTAATATTTTGCACAATGGAATGGAATCGCTATCCAGTTTATTCAAAGTCGCGCTTGAGTTGGGTTCCTTTTTTTCAACCGAATCCAGTTCTAGTTAAAGGCCATTTAGATGTAGAGCTAGCTTTTAGGGATCAAAGAATACTTCGTGACGTGTTTAGACGTCGTTGCAAGAAAGGAAAAGCCAAAGTGGATCTACTTAGAACGTCCGGTGGATCTTTGACGACCTCGCCGAATCAACATGGCAATGGCCCCCAACCTGCGGCGACGAGGAAATTGGCGATGGCTTTGGCGCTGTCTTCGTTAGAAAATAAACTACGAAAAAAACGTGATGGTGGACAATATTCAGGAGAAGAGGTCGAAAGTGAATTTTTCTCAGAACTTGAAACTGACTACGAAGAGGAAAGTTCTTGTGACGGTGGACATGAGATTAAACTTCACAGGCTACCCAAGGTCCAAGATAATGAGCCTGACTTTGATGGAGATAGAGAGCCACCTTTTGGCTCCCACACTGGCAATGATATACCACCCCCTCCAAATCACTTGCCAGTCTATCTTGACCAACCACTTGGACTGAATGTTGTCGTGGAAACCTTACCCAAGTTTCAAAAGCAATTTCCAATGTATTCCATACCTTGCAGTCAAGTGTTTCGTCGAGATGAATACAGTGGGCATTTCAAAAATGTCCACAGTGATATTCAGGGGGGACTTAATGGCTGGTTAGAGCACCGCTGCCCACTGGCACAGTATGGCTGCACCTTTGTTCGGTATAGGCTTCTCCCTCACAGTCAAAATGGAGCAGTTATTTTTAATCAGGAACTTGGAAGCTTTGGCATTAAACCATGTGGACATTTCAGTGGAGTTGAAAAATGCACAAGTCCTTCCACAGTTACTGCTCAAGGTGATACTACACAGATACCTGCCAAATCCAACATGGACCTTCTCACTTCTTTACCTTTTGAGATCCTGGAGAAGATAGCAAGTTACTTGGATGGGTTTAGTCTGTGCAACTTTTCTCGGACTTGTAAGCTTGTCAGAGAAATTTGTAGAAGTGTGCTGGAAACAAAGGGAATGGTCCTGTTTGAATGGGAAAAGAGAATTTATGACAGTGGCAGCTGGTGTTGGAGGATAAGGCAAAAGGTTTGTATCAATATATTTTAGTATATATTTACCAAATCAGTGAATAGCAATTTTTGCGCATTTTGACTCCCGTAACTCTGAATATCCTTGGCTATGCACCATTTTGCGACCAGAGCCAAGATGGTGTCTCGTATTGAGACAATTTCGGAAGGTGAAATTTTTTTTTTTGAGCGATAAATGAAGCAGTCATACAATTTTAAACAAATAAACACCAAGAAAGTGAAAAACTTTGACTTGTCCGTGGTTACTGGTAGATAGAGAAATACTTTCATGCTGAATTTGTAACAAAATCGTAACAATGCACTTGAAAAAATCCTCGAAATGTTTGTAAAATTGTAAACAAAGTTCTTACTAAGAGATGGTTTTGGTTACGAAAAGTTACTTTTTTCATTTTTATCTAGCTGATTTGGTAAATACTAAAACAACTATCCCCCTCAGGGTCTGTGAACGGTGGTAGATATATACCTTGACCCTTTGTGTCCCAGTATATAACCACCGCTATTCACCTACCCTTCTGGGGATAGTTGTATATCACATGTATTTCTGGCTATCAGTGATTAATAGCTTTCATTCATTGGAACTTTCTTTCGTGGATTACAGTGGTCACTTTTTTAGTAATGGTACATAACTGAATTGTTTCTCATGACATTTTTGCAATACAGGTACTATGGCTCTTTCTGATTTAAGAGCCTTAATTACAACTTAAAAGTTGTAAGCCCACTACTGATAAAAGTTTCACCCAAAAAGGATACATGTAACAGTCAACTTGCATTTGCTCTGAAAACACAGTTCCTGCTGATAGTTCTGTACGTAAAAAAGATGGAAGATGATGATGATGTTTTTATACTTGTATTTCTTATGTACTTACAGGGTATCTGTAACAAAATGAATATAACTTTTTTCTTCAACTTAGTTTTGTTGTCTGAATATTTTGATACATATTGTACACTTAATGTCAGATCCCGAGGGAAACAGTTAGTTTTGTTTTCCTGAGAGTCCTGATGTTTCCCGAGAGGAGGTCGAGGGAAACATCAGGACTCGAGGGAAAACAAAACTAACTGGTTTCCCGAGGGACCTGACATTAAGTGTTTTGTTATATTTCTAGACCTTCACTTCAACAGCAACAAAAGAATAACTGCAGCAAACCAAAACAGTCAACTCGGTACTTATAACAACACAAATTTAATTCTCAAAACCACTCAATGAATGATTTACAAAGTACTTTACTCATACTATCTGCATCTTTTTCCTCCACTAGCTGCTGTTTTTGTTCTGGGAATTTTTGGGATAACTTAAAAAATTGTTGCTTTTTAGCTTGAGGCTTCATGTTTGTGTTGTTGTGTTCAATCACGAAAAAGAAAACTAGCAGGACCTGGCAGTGTTTTTCCTGCCTTCTGTCACGCCACTTTCCACCATGCTTTGATCACGTGCTGTAATGTAGCCTGAGCGGGGTACATTGCTTAATGTATCACGATCGGGATACATTTGATTTTAGTCAAGGCCACGTGACCAAGAATCAACCAATGGCAGTCCCTGTTTAGTTGAGTGAAAGTCTACATGTAGGAATGTAACAATGAACATTATTATACACCATGTAGACTGTAATTACCAAGAATGTCTTATTCTTACCCTTGGTGCAGAAAACATTGGTTGCTTAGGGGAGGTGGTCATCTTCAAGGGTAATCAAGAAATTGAATCAGATTGGAAAGACTCCACTTGTTGTAACTAGTTACAATGCATTATCTTATTGACTAACGGTCAATAATCAAGCAAAAAAAATGGGCACTGTTTTTTATTACAGAGATGGTATTTCTCCACATCATTCTCACCAGTTGACAAGTGGGTTCATTCCAACTCCCCATTCATGGCAGCACACTTGGAAGAATGCAAGTACTTTGATCACAGTGTTCCTTCAGAAGAGTTCAGTTACTGTTTTATCGTTCAATCCTGTGATGCAGGCAGTACATGTATTGGGGACGGCAAAGGTGAAAACACTGAGATAGGTCTTGAATATGCACTAGCGCATGGGGATGAGGAGGCTGATCAAATAGCACTGGAATGTCAAATGAGTCAAGAGAGCCTAAGTGATAGTGAAAAATCAATAGATTCTGATTGTCAACTGCGGGAAGGGGAAAATTAGGGTTATAATAATTAAATTATCAAGAGTTGACTTGCTGGTTTTGTCATGCAAAAAATGGACTACTTGGCAAAATTAGGTAAAAATAGGTTTATTATTAGCCACACCCACTAAATATTTCACACATTATAACAAGCAATGAATGCTAACTTTTTTTCCCTCCAGTATATGTTTTTGTACAGTTATTAAACCTAAAGTTATCATTAGTCAGCTTCTCTAGAGGCCATTTTTTTAAATCTGTCTGTAGGTGGGTATTGCTGGTTTGCACTGTCATGCTGTCAAAAGTAAAAATAGAAACCACTTATTTGATAGATAAAGTCCAGAATCTGAGAAATGAAAGAGCCTTGCCAAGGTTAAGGTTTGTGTGATTTTTCGTATGCAAAGAAGTAAGCTTTTGAGTGTTATACCTTGAAAACTACCATATCTTGGGTAACCCTAACCCTAACCCTGTTTTTTAGTATAACAAAGAAAACTGAAACTATTGCGTGTATACTGCAACTTTACAATATACGTGTTGCACACAAACTGATAACCACTTTACGACGACTACTTGCTAATGTCAAGGACAAAGACAAACCAGAGGACAGACAGGGAGCAGTATACAAGATCAAATTCTGCGACTGCCAGGCTACTTACATCGGTGAAACCGGCAGAAACCTTAGCACGCAACTGACCGGACACAAACAAGCGACAAAAAAAGGTGATGTCAACAATACGACACGTATTACATATTCTACAGACTACTATCAACGACTCACTTTAAAAAGCTGGTTTACTAAGTTAGAACAAACGCCACTGAATCATAGTCAACAGTTACCGGCACCATACAAACGACTTAATGATGAAATCAAGAAAAACTAACTACGAGAGAACGACTGGACAACTGACAATTTGACTAACAATAGATGACTGTTTGACTGTGACAATAGATGGATCAAAAAGCACCAATTGCATTACGAGTCTTCATAGCCAATAACATAACAGCTTCATTGACAGATGACCAATATTGACCAATCAGGTCAATAACCAGAGTATAATACCATCAACTGACATGATACAACTCTCGTTGACTCTGAAGATGACTACTGCACAGCTTGTTGAAACATCAGTCACAGTCAACAACAACAACAGTCCTCTTCAGGACTACGTTCAGCTGGACAATCAAACTCAACCTACTTTTGAAATGACTCCTGGGTTCAAACCTTTCACATACCTTTCACAAAGAAAAATCAAGTTACGAGCAAAGCATTGCATAACTAATTTATCCCATACCACTCAACATTACAATATAGTTAAAAATAGGAAGCCTTGGCGTCACAGGTAACTCTAAAAAAGTCTCTTTTAATATTACATATAGTGTGTACTAACATCTTTGTGCATTGTAGCATATTACTTTTTTAACTATGACTAACTTCTAAGGAATCTGAATGGTAATTTAAAACTCAGATTTTATGGTGTTGTTTTAATGCAAAGTTGCTTCTGGAAATTTTGGTACAATGAAGTTTTGCCTGTTGCCATCTGCACGCTCTATTTTTCATTGGTGTAACAGGTTTCTACCTTTCTGATGGGAATATTCTCTATGGCATGGGTAATACCTAATTTACAGTGCTTTGTATACAGATGCCATATTGGTGTAATATGATGGCAAAAAATCTACAGAAACACCTGTCAATGAGTGTTTAGGGTGCTTCAAAAAATGGTGTCCTTTCCCCCTGCCAAAGATTTTGTACTGGAGAAAATTGGGCATCAACCTTTCTTTAAGAGATGTGGTTTTAAGTGTTTCAGTTCAAAGAACTGTTTTGTTTTGTGAATTTGTATACAAATAAAAGAGAATACCATAAGGACGAAATTGAAATAAGAAATTTCTAAAAAATTGTTTTTTTGGCCATTTTTTATTTTTGGTTTGATTTCCCATATGGTTATCAAAGTGGGGGAAGAGGTGGGGGCGGGGGGGGGTAGGTGTTGGACTCACTTACCGTGGGCTATCAATATCTGCCTTTTTAAAACACTGCCCTAGAGAATACCATATATGGAAAGTGGCTGCTCAGCAAAGCATGGCAGGTTATTTTGGAATGCAAAAACAGCCGATAAGAAAGGCTGAATGCACTGAGTCAATGTTAACGAAAAAAAAAACAGAAAGAAAGAAGCAATCAGACATGAAGCCTAAAATAGGAGCTAAAAATTTCAAGATTCTTTGAAAGAAAGTTTTCTGTGCGCAATACAGTGTACATAATGCAGACAACAATGTCAATTTTGTACTGTTCCATATGAAGAAATTATCCTGCTCTTACTGATAAAGGAATTAGTTGTTTTGGTTTTAAATCTGTTGGACACATTGCAGAGGAAACTTGTTCGAATGAAAGGTTGTATGCTTTATATACAGCTATTGCATTATTTTGGAATTGAAACTCTTATCCCCAAGGACAATAACCAACAAAAGGAGGTCCAAATCTTTTTTTTGCTAAGTGGTTTTGCTTCAAAAGAGTAAATTTATCACTGGACGAACGCATAAAAGTTAAAAACGAGGTAATACTTTTTTTACAAGAAGTACTGTTCATCTCTTAGTAAGAGATAAGTCACTTTCTAACCTTCATGACAGCTTTCCAAACCATCCAGTCTTTTACAAATGAAGAACCCCGAAAATGTGTTAAAATGTGATTGTTTAGGTGTTACCCCCTTGTGAAATTAAAACCTCGGAAGAATTTGTTAGTCTTGAGTTCTAATTTTGATGACATCACATGCAATCCAGCAACACTGTTGTTTGATATGGGTTTATTGTACAGACAATCGGCAAAAGTAACTGTGGAAGAGATGTTCCTAACAGTAATACGTAACCATGTGAATATGCGCCTTAGTAGACTGGCCGAATTAGGGCATGTGAGGCAGCTAAGGGAGTGGGTTAACACCTAATTTCCTTTCTAAGATTTCACAAGGTTTTACTTGGTCAACAGGACGATGTCTTTATCCTAAATAAGTTGTACTCAAGGCTTATTAATAGTCATAACACAGTTTTCTCATACTTTTATGACAAGGGTGTTTTCCTTCCAAGGATCGTCAAGATGCCAACGTGTCTGTCTGAAGACATAGTTTTTTATATGACCCAACCAGAGGGTGTGGTTCCTTGGGAAGTTATTAATGAAAAGGCAAAAAGGCTTTTGTTGAATTGCCAATGAAGACAGTTTTAAGTTTTTAGTTTATCCAGATGATGTGATATTACTTGAATTACACCATTGTTTGATTTCATGAGAAGAACTATTAATATGAATTATGTTGATTTTAACAGCTACAGAATGTTATTTTTATTGGTTTAAAATATATTTGATATTTATGCATTGTCACTTGAAGAATCAAATATTATTGAAATTATGTGTTTTCAGTGGAGAATTCAAGGTAGAATATAGTAACGTATTTAAAGGAAAAAAGAGAATATTAACTGAATAATTAATTATTTTAGTATTGTCATTAAACGTTTTCTGAAGGCATCCTAGTTCTTTGGTGTTCTGCTTCCTAGTTGGTAATTGTAGGCTGTGGAATTAATTCTTGGCTAGTTGAGCCTAGGTATTGTATAGGTTTTTCCATTGGTAGGGGAGACTAGACATCGATGAAAAAAAGAACGGTGCTGAAGTTTATGTTGAGAGCTCCCTGATGGTGCACAATCCTTTGTTCTTTGTTGGCAAATTGTGACAGAATGAGGTAATGCAACTTTTTTTATTGGTTAATATGATCTAAATGATAGGAATGCTATTGAACGTTGTGTATCGTCCAGTCCACGAAGACATATAACAAAGGAGTCTGACGGGCTAATTCATAACAATTTTAGCGCCAGTTTGCGTGGTAGGGGACCCCAGTTAGGCGAGGTAACACGCCTTGGTGGGGTAACCCGCCTGTCCATATCATCTCTCATTTTAATTTGATCACGTTTACATGGGAGGTGAGGTGACCCGCCACATGTTACAACACCTATCTGGGGTCCCCCTTAAACAGGCCTTTACTCTCGGTTTGCCAACCGGAGAGTGTGCCATAGTGACTAGGCTTGATTCAAAGTTGTAGTTTATTTTGGCCGGTTAACACTCGATGGGGGTAGTACTGAACACTTAACGGTTCACATAATTATTTCTTCACTTTATTCAAGTAAAAAATGCTGAACACTTAAATATTCAATCTAAAGTTCACTAGAAAAAAGGCATCGTTTGATTTTCAGCACATGTTGTGTTACTAATACACTGTGAATTGATACTGAATAAAAGTTTTAAGTTCCTGCAATCTTTTTTTGACGGAGTTGTGTCAGCGATAACTTTACACAGAGAATGCATAAACCTACATGAAGGCCGTTTACGCAATAAAATGCATTTACACTCCACTCTGAAAGGGTGTTTTTTGGTGTTAAAAGATTTTGACCAATCACAAGAGTTGAAAACAATAGCCAAGAAAAGTTTACAATTTTACATGTTCCCCACATAGGATTTCTTTGTTATTCAAACTGAGACCAGATTTTGTTATATGGAAGATGGTTGGAAAGTGAGGATGAATATATGTACCGCTTTATGAAGTTTTGTTAACTTTTGCTGTTTAAGCCAATCAGAAGTAAGTACAGATAAAAGAAAAGTTAGCACCTTTTTTGCATTCCAACATGTTCGTTGCTGTTGTTGCTATCGTTCGTATCTGGACCGTTTCTTAAAAAGCATGAAAATTGGTAATGAAATTTGGGGTTGTTGTAAATCAAAATATGAAGGGAACAATTAGTAGACAAATACTAGATTGAACACCACCACAACAAGGTACCCTTATCCTTACTTTATTATTCATTTAACTACATTTTCCCCATAAAAACCACACTGCTGCCTTTTACACGGAAAAAATATTTCAAGTTGGTAACTTTAAATGTCCAAGGAACTGACGAATGCTTTTCAAATCACTAATTTACTTTTTTTTTCGTGTTTCAGTGTTCCTACCAACGGCGTAGCTCCAGCTCATCATTTGGCCACCAATTAATATTACTGCGGAGAAAGCTGCAGAATGAATGTAAAGTGCGTGAAATGCAAATTTTTGGGAATTGTGAAAATAAGATTGACCGTTACATGTTCGAATATGAATTCGTTCAACGTTTTTGTGCTAGGAAAAGTGGAAGTACTGTGGAAAGTCGGACCAAAAAATCAAAATAACAAAAAGCCTTGTATTTTCAAACAGGTTTCGATATCAAAGTTTGACCCACAATGGACCCATTCGGTTAGCTCGATGTTGAACCCAATTCAAATCTCCCGGGGTTAAGATTCTCTGTGTACTGTATTTGCATTATAATGTGGCATTCACATTTATATGATATGGAAATTCCTGAAACAAAACGTTTTATTCCCAAAGGGTTTGAATTGGGTACAACATGAGTTAGCCGAATAGGTCTATTAACTTTCAATTTACACACAATGTAAAATGTTTTTAATTTGGCATTAGCTATCATTGAAGTTGCAAAGCTTGTTATGCAGTAATCCACAGTATCTGCAAGTGCATCTTCACTCAGAAGATCCACGTGACTTGAATGCTCTTGTACGCAGACACAACACTTTAATTTCCAAAGTCATTGATTGTCACGCCCCGCTTAAGACTAAGACTTTAAAAGTTAGACCTGCAGTGCCTTGGTACAATGACAAGGCCGCTAAACGCTTGAGACGTAAGGCTAAGAGAACCTGGAGGACAGTAACAGATCTCTGTCTGACTTGAATCTTTTCAAGTTTTACAGAAAGTGGGTGACGTACCTCATGAACCGGCCAGACAGGCGTTTTACACTAACTTTATTGATGAGGATAGCACTGACCATAAAAGGTTATTCTGAGCTCCTTGCAACTCCTTGCTAAGAAAGAGGAGCTGTCGTTTCCTAATTATCATGACAAATCAAAACTAGTCAATGACATTGGCGGTTTTTTTGTTCGCAAGATAGATAGACTGCTGCAGACATCGATCCAAGAGTGCGCAATGCGCTACCTAACGACGTCTCTGCGCTTATCTGTAAGTCCGTTAAGAAGTTCTGTCCGTTGGACTCTGGTTGTTGGCTGCCTTGACGTGCTGTTGCCTGTTATTTCACAAATTATAAATCTTTCGCTATCCAGCGGCCATTTCTCTGACGAATGAAAAGAAGCTCTGGTTATTCCGATCCTTAAGAAACCTGGCTTAGACCCGACGCAGATCAATAACCTCCACCCTGTCGGCAACTTGCACTTTATATCAAAACTAACAGAGCGTGCTGTTTTCGACCAAATTCACAGTCATATGAGTCGATTTGCCCTTTATCAAACCCTACAATCCTCCTACCGAAAGGGTCACAACACAGATACCAGGTCCAGAATGACATTCTTATGAACATGAATTGCAAGCATGTAACCCTTCTAGTTCTAGATTTGAGCACAGCCGTCGACACTGTTGACGGCATTATTCTGTTTGCTCGTCTTAAGTCAAGTATCGGCATTAATAGAACCGCCCTGAATTGGTCGTCTTATCTTAACAACAGGTCGCATCTGAAACATCTGCACATCTGAAAGTTTTAGGTTTCCTTATGGCGTTCTACAAGTACCGTGTTTGGGGCCGTTGTTATTTACCACTTACTCTAGCAAACTCTTTGAAGTCATCAAATACCATCTACCGATAAGCTTAAACTTAATGACGACAAAACTAAGTTCAGCAACTTTCCAGAGTAAATATTGTTAGCCTTACCGTAGAGGGCATTCACGTCGCTCCTGTTCATTTATTTTATTATTTATTTATTTATTTATTTAGTCACTCACAAAACCTTATACAACGTGAACAAAAGTTGTTAATTACATTATAAAATTAAAGTGACAAGGAAGCCTAACGAAGCTTGAAGCTTATATTAATAGGCTTCCTTCAACTGGCTAATGAACTAAATTCATGGCTGAG